TGGGCTACAAAGTGAGCTCAAGGCCAGCCTGAACTGCATAGCGAGACCCTGTCTCAAAAAGAAAAAAAAAAAAAAAAAGGCATCTACATAGAGAGTTGAAGGCCAACCTCTATTACATAGTGAGACCCTGTCTTAAAAAAAATAAAAAAGACAAAAGACCATTTTTAGGGCTATCTCCTTGAACTCACCATGTAACCCAGGCTGACCTGGAACCTGCAGCAACTCTCCTGCCTCAGCCTCCCAAGTGCTGGGATCGCAGTTGTGCACTACCACGGCTGGCTGTACCCTTATTCTCTAGTAGGAAATGTGAAGGGGTTGGGACAGGCGGAGGAGCTGTCTCACGTCAGTGTCACTCCTGTGTACAAAATGACCGTCCTGTCTGGTGGCGCCACCTGCATGGTGTGTTGACATGGAATGTGTGTGTGCCTGTCCCTGAGGCCACCGGTACAGGGAGTCCTGGCATCCGCCCCTCGGGACACGGGGGTCAGGGAAGTCCTGGAAACGCTCCCCTCACCTGGAGGGGGTGATGGTGGTGATGGTGGTATCAGGGCGGGGGGACACTCGCAAAGTTGGAGGCGGCACGTGGTGAGCTCCGTGCCAGGCTTTGTAGAGTGACGTGTGGCGCGTGCGGGCAGTGGCCGCCGCACAGGCGTTGGTGGCCTCCTCTCCTACCACGGTGCCTACCCCTAGGCTGGAGCTCAGGACCTAGGCGGTGGGGACCCCCATCCTGGGGACCCGGGCCTGGGCAGGGCGAGGGCCCTGGCCAGCTGGACTCTACTGTGTCACCTCCTTCACCCCAGGCTGCCCTGAAATCTCGTCCTGTGTGTGTGCATACACACGCACGCACATGCACATGCACGCACGCACACCGTAGGGCTTCCTAAGGACAGGGGAAGCTTTGTTTGAAGAGTGTCTGATCCTGCAGTCCCTGGCGTTTGGACAGAAGCCAGCAGATGCTGCCAGGCCCTCCGACAGGTATTCCTCAAGGGACAAGGGGCACGGCTAACACCCAGGATGGCTCAGGGGGCCGTTCCCGTCGGAGTGCTCCGAGGTGCCATCCCAGCCTGAGTGCTGGATTGCTCAGAAGCTGCCAGATTCCGGATAGGGTGGCACTGGGGTGGCTCCTGCAGACATCGGGCCGACCTGAGCCCGTGTGCCTCAGCCAGGGGCCGTGGTGACAGACGCTGACCTTCGAAGCTGATGCACAAGTAAGCGAGGGTGCAGCCCAAATCCATGTCCCAGGAGGGAGGCGGCCAGCGGCCGTGAGGTCCCAGTGGCCGGTGGGAGAGGGGAGCGTGGAGGCTAGGGGCTGCGGGGCCGAGGGGCCGAAGACCTCGCTCAGGCCACCGCGGCCCTGGCTGGAGGGCACTGCCGCGCTCTGCATGTGCTGAGCCAGGCGGAGCTGTGGGGGCCCCCAACCCGGCCTCTCTGGGTGCTGTCAGACACTTCCGCTGCCTGACCTGATTCCCCCGGACACCGAGCCCCGCCCCCCATGCCTCTCTAGCACCGGGCACACACATCGGGTGGCTGAGAAGCCACTGGCCCTGCGCCCTGGTTGCTACCAGCACCTCTTGTGAGAGCCCAGGGCTGCTCTGTGCCCCAGTGGCCTCCCCACCCTGCTTGCCATGACCCTGGGCTGCCGCTTTCCCGAGCATGGTGCCATGGCCAGCACGCTGTGGGTGAGGCGAGGGACAGGGCCCTGTGGCGGGCGGGGGCAGCTGGAGCTCCCACGTGCCCAGGGAGAGTGCCACGCTGGTACTGCAGGCTCCAGGCCCACCCAGACTGGGCTCCAGGCCACATCCTCCAGATCAGGCGACCCCACAGCGGTGACCAGGGGTCACCAGATGCCCACACTACCCATCTACCAGGCCCCTGTCACTCCTGTCACGCGGCGTGGACGTCGCGTCTTTATTAATCAGTGTGCAGCTCCACACAGGGACGGCTGTGCTGGCTTCCACGTGGCTGGCCCAGGCAGCAGGGGCTGCACAGAGGGGCTCAGCGGCTTGGCCAGAGGAGGGTGAAGGCCCCGCGGCTGCAGCGGAAGTCTGGCTCTGGCTGCTCCGGCCTGGGCTCCACTGACACAAGGCGCTGGGCCCCTCGCTGGCTCAGCGGGATGCAGTCAGAGACGCGCACCTCCAGCGCCTGGCCCTCCCTGCAGCAGGAATGGAGGCGGGGTGTCAGGGGGCAGGGCTCAGGGTGTGTGGCGGGGCTCCCCGAGCCACATCCCTACCCACCAGGCTCACCCCCGACAGTGCGAAGCCAGCACGCCCACCAGCTCCCCGACGCGGTTGTCCAGTGGCGGCTGGGAGCGGTGCAGACACACCACGAGGTCATCCTGGCCCCGGGCGTGCAGCACCACCAGCTGGTCCCGACCGCTGGTCACGCTCAGCCCGGTCACCTGAGCACAGAGCGCAGGCTCAGCACGCTGCACCCCCACCCAGGAAGCCTCTTCCCAGCCCGCACCAGGGAGCCCAGCCACCCTCTACCGCTCCCACCTTCCCACTCTGGTCCCTGCTGACAAAAGGAAGAGTTGAAGCCAGGAATGGTGGTGCATGCCTGTAATCCCAGCACTTGGGAGGCTGAGGCAAGAAGATCACCACTGTGTGTTCAAGCCCAACAAGGGCTACCTAGTGAGTTCAAGACCAGCCTGTCAGAAAGGTGGAGGAGCTGGGCAAGACCTTATGTAATAGGAGTTTCTGTCATGATAGAACATTCTAGATCTTTTGATTGGTCAGAGCATCACTGCTCACTGTGGCTATGGGTCCTTGTTTGTGGTACTGAAGAACTGAGGTAATTTTTGTGTCTGCCTTTTGCATACCTGGAGAGTGAACCCAGGGCCTTCACACTGAGCTATATCCTCAGACCTTCCTCTTTTTGCTTTTTTAGACAGAGTTTTGCTAAGTTGCCAGGGCTGGCCTTGAACATGTGATCCTCCTGCCTCAGCCTCCAGAGTGCTGGGATAACAGGCGAGCACCAGCGCGTCCAGGCGAGGAGCTGAGTTTTTAGTTTCCCTTCACTTTAATTACACCTGGGTAGCCACACCTGCACTTGACTGCTGCATCTGACTAGGCCTATCTGCTGTGACAGTTACAGGACCCCAAAGCAGGGTGGGGGGCAGATGGAGCCCCTGCTCAGGCTGCGTCTTGTTCTATCAGGAAGGACAGTTATGGGAACAAGGAGGCCGCAGAGCCAGGCAGGAGTGGACAGGGGTTCCCTCGGGAGGCGGTGGGCTGGGGGCCCAGACCCTGCACCTGGTGAGCGGCGGAAGCCCGGCCAGGGTTTGCAGAGGGTCTGCCGGGCCTGGTGGGAGAGACTGAGGCGGTGCTCCCAGCTCGGGCCCCTTCCCCGGCTCACCGTGTCCAGGGGCACGGAGCGCATCACCCGGTACTGCCGGCCGGGGTCCAGCTTGTAGAGGTGCCGGTCCGTGAGCAGGAGGGCCCGGTCCCGGCTCTTGCGGAAGCGGTTCACCTGCGGGAGGGGTAGCTGGGCCCAGGCTGGTGTGGCCCGCCCATCCCGCACTCGCCTCGGGGCACCCGGAGCGGCTGAGCCCGGGCTGGGGGCTTCTCTGGCCTCTCCGATCACCCTGACCGGAGTCCCCCACAGCCCCAGACCAGACCCTCACCTTTCGGACGTGACTGGAAAAGAGCACCGCCCCGAAGCCATCCTTGTCTCGCAGCGCCTTCAGCCGCTGGGTGAACAGGCCCGAGGCTGCGGGGTTGTCGGTGCCCTGAGGACAGAGGGTGGCAGGGCTGCCTGGGCCTAGGTCCCACTCCACTGATGGCAGCAAAGCCCCGCGGCTGCCCCGCACTGGGCAAACTGAGTCACAGCCATGCCCAGGAGCTGGGCGGTGATGGGTTCCACGAGGGCTGAGGGCACGGAGCCCTCCTGCCGTGACATCCAGGGACATCAAGGACGTCTGTCCCTCCCTGCCCTTTCCCTCTGTCCGGCTGGTGGCTGCTGCTCAAGCCCTCTGCGCGCAGCTCTGGAGAGACCCGGCTTGGAGGGAAAGGTGGGCGGCGGGGGTCACAGGCTGGCAGCGCAGGCTGTGGAGACGCAGGCACTGTGCCACCCCCAGAGGCCCCAGGCCCAGAGGCACTCACAGACGATAGGTAGTCTCGGGCCCAGGCCCGCTGGCAGCCCCAGTCCTGACGCAGCCCCTGCAGGGCCCCCATGGCAGCCACCTTGGCCTTGATCTGAGCCATGTCCGAGGGTGGAATATTCTTCACCAGCTGCCGGGCCCGCCACCTGGGAGAGGGCGGGGTCAGAGGACAGAGCCTGTCCCCCTCTGCACTAGCTGCCCTTTGGGTCCGCCTCTCTGGTCTCTACCCCTCGTGCCTGATGCTTGTCCCAGGAGGTGACCCCAGACCTTCCCACTCTAAGCACACTTGCATGTGCCCTTCTCTTGGAGAACTCCTACTCACCCTTCAATACCCTATTCAAATACGAAGTCCCCCACTGCCCATCCCTGATGAGATATCCTCCCCTTTGCTGGTCACGGCCCTGGACCTTGAAGGCCAGCACAGTGCTGGGACAGTCAGGTCTCTGCCACCAACCCTGGACTGCAACAGCCAGCTCATGTGGTTCAGCTTGTCTTCCCGTTCACCGAGGGTACTGGTGTGTCGGGTCTGCATGTTCTGGGGTGCTGGGGAGGGGCTAGCATGGAGGGCAGAGGGCCTACCTGCAGAACAGCGCCTGGCAGGTGTCCTGGAAGGGCTGCAGCACAGCAGGGGGTGGCGGCCACTCAAGGTCACGGCCGTAGAGTGGGGGCTGCCGTGCAGCCTGGAACCGCCGCTGCAGCTCGGCCAGGTGCGCGCGCACCTTGTGCCTCCGGAACCAGCGCATGATGGTGTAGACGGCCCGTAGCCTCCGGCAGTGCCACCTGGCCAGGGTGCCCCGCCACGCCTGGGGGGCCCAGTAAGATGGGACGTAGGGTCAGGTCCAGGCCGTCCTAACCCAACCCTGGCCCTGAGTGTCTCCTGGGCAGCCCTCCACGCCTCCAGGAGCCTGCCCCAGCCCCACCCCAGGAGCTCTGGGCGGGCGTGCCCAAGGCCCTGCAGAGTCAGGAAGGAGCAGCTGGCCCGGGCCAGGCGTGGAAAGCTGGGGCCTGGCACTGCGGGGGCCCCTGGTCCCCCAGAAGAGAGCCGGTGTGGGAAGAGGGTGGGGGCAGATGCAGGTGCACCTACAACTCCGGAAGACTCCAAACCAGAGGGGCACCCGGCTGGACACCCCACAAGGCAGACCTGGGCAATACATCATGCCTGCAGCATAGAACAGTGACCTTGGGGACCACGGCAGAGCGGGGGCACCCCGCGGACACCCTCCCCGGGCCAGGTGTCGGCCGCCCGCACCTTCTGCAGCAGCAGCACGATGATGGGGATGAGCTGGGCGCGGCTCTGCTCCAGCGTGACCAGCGTGCGGGGCGAGCGGATGAACAGCTTGGTGTGGCCAAAGGCCACGTCTCCCTGCAGCCCGTGCTGCTCCAGGAGCGCGCCCACGGCCGCCTGGTCGGAGCCCAGCAGGTGGTTGGGCCAGGTGTATTCGCAGGTCATTTTGTACCTGCGACCACAGGACAGGTGGTGGGGACCTGGCAAGGGAGGGGTGCGGGGTGGGGGTCCCCGGGCTGAAGTCCTCTCCGGGTGCCCGGAGCCCTGTGGCGCCTGTGGGCGTGCCCTCGCTGGGTGTGTCCTCATACCCGTCGCACGTGTCCCCGCACCTGCCCTCACGTGCGTGTCCAGGCGAGCGTCTCCAGCGCAGCACTGTGGCGGGCCCACTCACACCCCCGCGTGCAAAGCCCTGCGCAGGGACCCCCGCTCCCACCCCTCGCGCTGCTCGCAGGGGACCCGCGCCGGCGTCTGTACCTGAGCAGGAACCGCGGGTAGGGCTGGCGGGAAGCGAAGCCGGCCCTGCGCACCCGCACGTTCTCCAGCAGCCCCAGGTACGAGACCTGGTGGCGACACCGGCTCTCATCCAGCCTCCCAGGCTCTTTGTCCTCATTGGGCTTGATGCAGCGGACATAGAAAGGCTCCTGCAAGGACGTGAAGACGTAGGGGTCCCAGCCAGTGGCCACTGTGTGTCCCACCCCAAGCAAAAGCGTGCCTGAGAAACAAGGGCCTCGGCAGGGAGAAGTCGGAGAAATCACAACCCAGTAGGGCTGCGCAGGTCCGGGAAGGGGCGGGGCCAGGGAGTGGGTGGGGCAGGGGCGGGGCGGGGCCGGAATTAGCCCCACCCCTTCCTCTCTTCTAGCTGGTTGCCATCTACCTCAGATTTGGGGCCTGGGCCCCAAGAAAGCTAGTGCGTTTCTTTTCTTTTCTTTTCTTTTCTTTTCTTTTCTTGTCTTTTTGAGACAGGGTCTCGCAATGCAGTTCAGGCTGGCCTTGAGCTCACTTTGTAGCCCAGGCTGTCCTCGAACTCGCAACAATCCTCCTGCCTCAGCCTCCCGAGTGCTGGGATTACAGGTGTGCAACATCACGCCTGGCTAGTGCCAGTTTCTTGTCCGGGTGGTTTCCCAGGAGGCAGTGGGATGAGTGCAGGGCCAGGTTCGAAGCCCTCCAGTGGCTCTGTGCCCTCGGAAGTGTGGCCCTGGAGTCCCACATCCAACCTTTGCATTGGGCAGTCAGGGCTGGGGCAGATGGGGCACACAGCAGGCTCTGGAAGGTGCCGGCGAGAGGGCGGCAGGGTACCTTGGAGGCCAAATTCTCCACCAGGGCCACCATGGAGTTCTTGAAGATCGTGCCAGCTGTCAGGGGCCGCTTGGTCACCTCGGTGATGTCCTGCTGCCCGTCTGGCCACATCGCCCGCAAGGTGGGGTCGGAGCTGCAGACACAGCGCAGGAGCGGGTGCCCAGCAGCCCTCGGGACAGCCCCACGCCCACCATGGGGCTCGGCGGTCGCCAGCCCGCACACCCAGAGCCCACGCTCACCTGTTGTACAGCAGCCGCTTGAAGTCCTGGAAGAGGAAGTCTCGGTTCTTGTCGATGAAGCCCTCCACGGAGTACCTGCCGGGGCCAGCGTGCTGGGGGCCAGGGCCCAGGGACACCGCACTCCTCCCACCTGTCTCTCCTCACAGCCAGGCTGCCCCGGCCGCTTTTCTCTGCCCTCATGTCTACGTTCTCTGTCATCACCTAAGACTCCCTCAGAAGTGTCTCTGCAGGGAGACAAATCCAATGGCCAGAGTGCTCGTCCAGCCCTGAATCACAGCTCCTCCACGTGGGCACTGTGTGACCTTGTTCAAGCGGCCACACCTTTCTGCCCCGATGTACATCAGACACTTGAACAGGCCCCACTGTGATTCTGTATCAGCAGCTATAATTACGGCCAGGAACAGTCTCGGGGCACGAGTGCCTCACTAGTATGACCTCCTTGGACCACTAGAAGGCCCAGTGCCAGGTCCCGGCTCTAGCCGGGCCCCTGTGAAGACTGGGCGTGGGTGACTGAGCGGATCTGACACCAGCCTGCTTCGTCTCCATCCTCTTCCTGTCCTGGGGAAGCTCAGGGTGGACACCTGACTGCTGTGTGTCACCTCACATCCCTTGTCTGGGGCGAGAGCCAGGACAGTCCCCGGTATTCAGAGCTGCCTGATGGCCCCCGCGAGGCCTAGAGAGGAGTTTGCAGGAGATGCTAAATGACCTTTGCCCCACCTCCAGCCTTGCAGCACTGGGACTTCTTTAAAGGATGCCCGGGATGCAGCTAGAGGTGTGAACCACCGTCCTCCAAACCCGTGTCCTGCTGGGCATGGTGGTGCACGCCCAGTATCCCAGCACTCTGGGAGGCTGAGGCAGGAGGACTACAGATTTGATCAGCCTGGGCAACTTAGTGACTTAATGAGATTCTTTCTCAAACAATTTTTTGCTTTTAAATCTGGGGATGTAGCTCAGTTCCAAAGCCCTGGTTGAGTTCAACCCTGAGAACTACAAACAGGCAAAACCAGAAACACGTGTCCTGCCCTGTCCCTGTGCTGAGTAAAGATCTTGTGTCAGCATCTTCAAAGGCAGGGTCCTGGCTGTTCTCTGGGGACACACGCAGAGGATCCTGTTGCCCAGGGCCTTACGTGACATCACCCGCGTAGTGCTTGATCCGAAAGTCTCGGCCAAACTCCATGGTCTTGTCAGTGGGGCAGAGCTGTGGGACAGGTGGGGTCAAGACACAGAACGGGGGGTGAGGGCTCCTGCCCGAACAGAGAAGGCTGCCGTGGGGACCACAGTGGCAGCAAGCTGCGTTCCTCTTAGGTCCCATGAGGCAGGGGCACGGTGACCCTCTGGGCATGTGCCACCACCTTCTGTGGCCACGTGGGGCAGCCAGGACACCGCACCTGGCGACTGGAGTAGTGTGGGTGGTGGCGGTGGTGCGTGTCCAGTGTCTGCAGGAAGATGCGGTCGGTGATGGTGCCCGCGGCGCTGCAGGCCTCGTCCAGCACCGCCAGGATGCCCCAGTGGGGCCGCTCTACCAGCTCCACGATGGTGGCGTTGTTGAAGTACTCCACCTGGTGGGGGAAGCAGCGGGCAGCTCCCGAGGCCCGGTCCTCCACCTCGCAGCCCCGGCCCCCGGCCCCCATGGTGCCCGGCACCCACGCTCTGCCAGGTGATGCCCTCGCGCTCGTACTCCTCCTGCTCCTGCTTTAGGATGAGCTGGATGAAGAGCTGCTGCAGCTTCTCGTTGCAGTAGTTGATGCAGAACTGCTCGAAGCTGGGGAGGGGTGCAGGGCCTTTAGGGGGGCTCCTATTCCTGCTCCCCTGATGGGGCCAGGACCCTAGGTGGCCTCACTGTGAGTTACCCACCCCCGACCCCTCCTCTGCCACCCCCAACACCGTGTGCATATTCTGGGATGGTCTCGGCCCTGGAGAAGTGAGCCCCAAATTGTTGGCCTCCAGGAGGGCGTCCCTGGACTTGGGAAGATTCCAGGTGTTCCGTCTCCCAGCCCCAGCCTAGCTCCCCGCAGCCATGGTGGCCACAGTGGGTGGGGTCAGAAGGGGGGACGCACTTGGCCGGGCTGCCCACCTATTGACAGGGAACACCTCAAAGCCGTAGATGTCCAGCACGCCGATGACCGTGTCCTTGCCGTCCCGCCGAGGGTCACGGCCCCGGGCCTCCATGATGCCGTTGATCCTGTCTACCACCCACTCGAATAGCCGCTGGTACACAGCCTGGGGGGACAGCACACCCTGCCTGCTGCCCCAGCCTGCCCCCTGCAGAGGGCACCTGGTCCCCTGTCCAGCCGCCCCTCAGGTACCTTGGCACAGGCATCCCGGGCGTAGCTGGCCTCGGCCACCGTGTGGCCTTTCTCGATGAGGTCGCGGCCTCCCGAGGCCACGGTGCGGGCCAGCAGGGAGCGGAGCACAAGGTCCCGGGGCGTGGCTGTCAGCTCCGCCACGTGGTCCACTAGTGCTTCTTTGGCCACTGCCAGGCCACCTTTCTGCAGCCCGTTGTCCTCTGTCTCCACAAACTCGATGTTTCCCTGGGGACAGGGGAACGTGAACACGAGTGCAGGCTCCGAGGCCCTGAGGGGCCCAGTGCCTTGGGGCGGGAAGGAAGGGAGGCCCTCGGCTCGAAGCAGGCTCACCAGGTGCAGGATGGCGGCCAGGATGCGGTGCACCGTCTCCACCTCCTCGCACTGGAACCCGATGACCCGCATGGCCTCCGTCACTGCCCGGTGGCTGTTCTCATCACTCTCCAAGGCCTGGGAAGAGGACTTCACCACCCGCGCCAAGGCGGGCCCAGGGCCTGCCCTCGGGGTCCCGATCCCTCTCCTGCTGTCCCTGTCCCAGAACGCGGGCCCCCGCCCTACGGAGCCCCCGGCACTCACGCAGTGGGCCCCTGAGCTGAGCCCGGCCCCCTGCCGCGTGAAATTGTACAGGGCCGGGTTCCTCTCCAGGTGCAGGCTCCGCAGCTCCTGCTCCTCGCAGCCCCTAAGCAGCTGGAGGAGGCAGAGGTGCCCTTGTCAGGCTTCCCAGCCCCCACGACCCCACACAGGGGAGACCCACAGGCACAGGGACGTTCACACGTTCCGACATGGCGTGCCCGTGTCCCATGTGCCAGGCAGTGCCGCCTCAGTGTGCCAGGGAGCCTCTTGCCCAAGGGCCTGAGAGGCTGGGGACACCCTGCCTGGTTCCGACAGCCCCGCCCTCTGCGTGTGGGGTGAGGGTGACGGCTGGGGGCAGGAGTGGGTCGGGAGACTGGCATGTCTGTTTTGTTCAGTTAGTACTCAGGATGGAGCCCAGGGCCTGTGCACTAGCTACACCCCAACCGAGCCTTCCCAAAACCATTTTTTTATTTTGAGACAGAGTCTCACTAAGTCACTAAATTGCCTGGGATGGGCTTACACTTGCCTGCCATCCTCCTGCCTCAGCCTCCTAGTGCTGGGATTACAGGTGTGCACCACCACGCCCAGAGACCAGGATGTGAACGAGGATGGAAGGTGGGCCTCCCCTTGCCCCCTCCCCCCCTTCTCCTTTTCCACACCCCCCGGGGCTCACCTGGTAGAAGGCGTGGAAGTTCCTCTCACCCACGTGCTGCTTGAGCACCCTGGACTGGGGAGAGAGGGGCCCTGTCTGAGTGTCCCCAGGTACAGGCCAGCCTGAGGGTTGGAGTGCCCAGGGCCGTGGGGCCACTGGAGCCCCCAAAGGGGCCACAGAGAGAGCCCAGCGTTCCTGGGGCAGGGTCTCAGCCAGGGTCCCCCACCCCAGCTCCTCAGCCTGGCCACCTTCTCCAGCAGGTAACTGTGGATGTGTCCTCCGACAGGGTCCCCCTTGAAGTCGAAGTTGATGTCCATGTACTTGCCGAAGCGGCTGGAGTTGTGGTTGCGGTTGGTGCGGGCATTGCCAAAGGCCTCCAGCACGCAGGTGGATTTGAGCAGCACGTCCTTCACCCTGCAGACAGAGGGGCTCAGCTCCAGCAAAGAACTCCTGGCAATCCTCCCGCCTCAGACTCCTGAGTGCTGGGATTACAGGCGTGCTCCGGCATACCCGGCTGTTCAGGTATTTTCTGCACCTCTCTGTACCACCTGTCTGCAGCCTGCCTCCTCCTTTGGTCCCATCTCACTTCAACCTCCGGGGCCTTCCTGTCTGAGCCCTACTCTCTGCCCGGGGCTTGCAGTGGTCTCCACTTGCCCTCCCTGCACCATGGAGGCCCCGAGGCTCAGGCCAGAGCTCACCTCTCCACCTCGGCCCTCTGGCTGGGGTTGGTGACCGCCGCGATGTACTGCATGATGTGCTTGCTGGCTTCCGTCTTCCCCGCCCCACTCTCCCCTGCCAGGAAGACGGGAGATGGAGACTGGGAATCGGGGAGGCTGAGCCCCCTCCCGGACGGCCCGCACCCCCGCAAGTACCTCCTTTGCACACAGCCCGCAGGGACCAGTACCTGAGATGACAATACAGGTGTCCCTGGCCCTGCGCTTCATGGCTCTGTAGGCGGCATTGGCCACGGCGTAGAGGTGGGGTGGCCGCTCGTAGAGCTCACGGCCCTGGTACCTGGCGATGGCCTCAGGTCCATACAGGGGCAGCTGCTTGTAGGGGTTCACGGACACCAGCACCTCGCCGATGTAAGTGTAGATGAGGCCCTTCTCGAACCTGGGCACAGGGGGCCAGCCCTCAGAGCCCCCCTCGGCCAGGGCAACCGTCCCAGGGGAGGTCTCAGGTGGCCGGCGCCCCTCCGAGCAGGGCTGAGGGCCGGACACGGGGAAGGGCCTCCTCAGCGCCACCGTGGGCCAGTGAGTTACTCAGAGTTCTCTCTGCCAAGTGTGAAGGGTGGGGTCCGTGCTGCTCTCTGTGTGGGTTCTGAGGTCCGAGCAATTGGGACACCCATGCCCCAGAGGGGCTAGGCTCGGGCAAGACCTCGGCAGGTCTGGGCTGAGGTGGTGACTGGGGTCTGGAGGGGGCTTGGTGCAGAGGAGGCCAGGCCTCGCTGCTTCCTGTGTCAAGGCCTGGGCGGGAAGCAGGGCAGGAAGGGGACCCGCCCTGCCCCACCCGGCTGTAGGGAGGCGTCAGAGTGACTGCCGCGCTCGCGGTCCTGCCAGTGTCTCCAGCCGGCAGCCTGTGCCTCTCCGGACTGACTTACCCATCCTTCCCTTCACAGACGCTGCGGGGCCGGCTGTGCCGCTCCGGCTGTCGCCCTTTCCCCAGCCCCGGGTCCCCGGGCCGTGTGGGACCCACCCTTCCCCAGCAGCCTGTCCTGTTGAGGTTCCTCTTCCTCTGCTGTCTCTGACACAGAGGCTCCTGCCCTCCTGCCAGCCGTGTGGCCCGCGGCAGGTCACACAGGTCCTCTCCGAGCTCAGCAGAGATGACACCGCCTTCTCATTGGTGTGAGAACAGGGGAAATGGTGCACACAAAGTGGAGTGAGCCGGGTGTGGAGGTGCACGCCTGTAATCCCAGGACTCAGAAGGCTGAGGCAGGTGGATTGCCTCAAGTTTGAGTACAGCCTGGGCTACACAGTGAGTTCAAGGCCGGCCTGAACTACACAGTAAGACCCTGCCTCAAAAATGCAAAAGCAGAACCCACTGAGCTGTCTCTCCTCGGTCAGGCTGAGCAGCCTCCTCATGTTCTGTGGGGCTCCTGCTCCTGAGCTGTCCCCAGGGAGGGCCCCAGGGCACAGCAGTCTCCTTGGGCGCCCGGCTCTGCTCATGGCTACCTGGCTGCCCATGCCCCAGGGCCCAGACTCCTTCCGTCCTGCCTGCTGTCCGCTTTCCTCAGTGGCACTGTAAGCTCCAGTGTCACTTCTACTAGCCATGTCCTGCAGCCCTCAGGGCCCCCAGAGCCGGGGCTCCATCACCCTGGTCAACCCGGGACGGGCCATTCACTTTGTGTTTTGGTCCTGAGGACTGAGGCTGGCTCCGTGTGAGCGTCTCAGGCCCCTTTCTGTCTCTGGGGCAGGGCTGAGGGGCACAGCCCTGGGGGTTACACCCCATCTGTCACAGGAAGGACGGGGCGACACCAGAGCATGGGGGTGTGCAGGGTGCTGTCACTTTTCTGCAGCCACGGTGCCCATGCTTGGAGGCTCGGGTCAGCCTGCGAGGTGGGTGAGCGTGTGCCACTGTCCCTGACGCCGAGGACGGGGGCCCATGTGCCGTCCCTAGTCTCCTGGGTCTGTGAGGAACGGGTGGAGGAAGAGGGAGCCCCGTGCCCCGCCCTGGCCTACCTGAGCTGCAGGTTCCTCATGAAGTCCTCCATGGTCACCTGGTCCAGGAGCACGAAGTCGGCCTTGCCGCACTCGGGACCTTCGTGGTCCTCCATCCTGCTAGCAGGAAACACCCAGGCTGGTCCCGACCTTTGTGTGCAGAGGCAGAAGGGAGGGGAGCCCCGGGAGGCCCGGCCCCTGCCAGACAGAAAGTAGGAAGTGGGTTTGGGCCCCGGGAGGGCGGCCCCGCTCACTCGCTGCTGCTTCTACAGGGGTGCTCTGGCCACTTCCTGCGCCCGCACCCACGCCCACTGGAACCTGAGCCCAGGGTTCCCCGGCCCTGCGGGGGAGACTTGTCGGGCTCCTGTCTCACCCAGACTGCTCGGAGGAGTCACCTGTGGGGCCTGAAAGAAAGATTTCTCCACGTGGCCATGGTTATCCAGCTGCATAGGCAGCCGTCTCACTCAGAATTGGGGTTTATGTACATTGTGGGCTCTGTTTTGTGTACATTGTGCTTTAACACAGAAATAAAAGGAGGCAGGAACGGCGGCGCATGCTTGTGGTCCCAGCACTCGGGAGGCTGAAGCAGGAGGATCGCTGTGAGCTCCAGGCCGGCCTGGGCTCCATACTAAGTTCAAGACCAACCTGAACTCAAAAAGATGAGAAAGAGAAAAGGTGCTGATGCCGGGGGCTCTGGGTGGGCGTCATCACAGGGACTCCCCTGCTGCAATTCCCCAGCCCAGCAGCTGCGCCCCTCCTCTGCGCTCTCCACCCTTGTGGACAGCAGTGAGGGTGTCGTCACAGTGCTCGCAGACTCAGCCTGTGTAGAAGTAGCAGCAGTTTAGGAACTGTCTCCACTCTCAGCAGTTTAGGTGTCTCCCCGCTCCTCCCTCTTTCAGAGGCTGGAGAGCAGATGCCAGGGTCCCAACCCACTGTTACTTGTGTCACCTGGAGATTTGTATGCAAACACCTGTTTAACAATCATTTCAAGGGGCTGGGGATTTAGCTCAGCGGCATAGCACCTGCCTGGTAAGCGTGAGGTCATCAGTTCGATTCCCGGTACTGGAAAAAAAAAACCCAAAAAACAAAAAACAGTCATTTCAGCTTGGCATGGTGGCGCACGCCTGTAATCCCAGCACTCGGGAGGCTGAGGCAGAAGGATCACTGTGAGTTTGAGGCCAGCCTGGGCTCCTCAGCAAGTTCAAGGCCAGGCAGCACTATACAGTAAGTCCTTGCTTCAAAAAAACAAAACAAAAAAACCCCAGAAGAAAACCCGAAACAAAAAACACCAAAATACAAAAACAAAAAATCATTTCACTCATTAGGTCTTACATTGATGCTGCAAGATTGTCTTTCAAATGCCCGACAATGGGTGCATGCCTAGTAAAATTCTGTGTATCCAGGTATCTGCTGAAACTAGGCACCATTAGTGACTGGAAGTAAAACCCCCCAGACCTAGAAATGGGGCCCTGGGTCCTCCTTGGGCTGGACTGGGGCTCCCCTCGGGCAGATTCCCTCTAAGTTTCACCCCAGCTTGGCCGGGGGTCCCCACCGTGGCCACCTCTCAGGCGGGTGCTTTTGGAGGGTTTTCCAGCTGCAGCCCAGCCCAGGCCTGTCACTCTCAAGTCCCTGTGTGGTTTCACTTCCCCAGGGAACCAGGCAGACCCCAGGTTTGCTTAATATTTTTCAAAGAACTCATGCAAAAGAGAGTTTTAAAAAAACCTGATGTGGCTGAGTTCCAGTAAAACATTAGGAACATCAGATTCTGAGCTTCAGAAAATTTTCACCTGTCATGAAATATTCTTTGGGTTTTTTTCTTTAACCACGTAAAAACCTTAGCTCAGATTGGCCGTGGGCGGACCTTCAGACCGGTTGCCATGCGACTAGGGTGGAACCACAATCCCAACTGTCCCCTCCTCCCTGCTGGTTTGCACAACCACGCCGAGCATTACCTCATTTGACCCCTAAGGCCCACGTGGTGGTGACTTTGACCCTGCTTCTGCCTCCCAGCTACTGGGCCAAGGTCGGCAGATGACATCATACAGGAAGCCACAGCCCCCCTCGCCCCCACTGCACAAACTCCTGGTCTTCTCAGCTGGCCTTCAGCTTGCAGCTGCTGGCAGTTTTCCCGGGATATCATGGAGGGACAGAGGACGGGCCACCACCTGAGCCTGGTGCTTGCGGGGTGCTAAAGAAAAACCCTCGGGGCCCCCATCCTGGTGGCCGCTTGTTTCCAGGTCTCCTTCTAACCCTAACCCTTGCAGCCAGAGGCCTTCCTTCCCCTCTGGACTGCAGGCTTGTTGTGTTCTCCTGCCTCAGCGTCCCAAGTGCTGGGATCACTGGTAAGTGCTACCATACCTTTTTTTTTTTGGATACCAGGAATTAAACTTTGGGTGCTGTGCTGCTAAGCTACATTCCCGGCCTGGTCTTTTTTGAGGCAGGGTGTCGTTGTGCAGGGACGCTGGCCTGCAACTCACAATGCTGGGCCAGGTCGTACGAAGTGCAGTTCTACTGACTTGTTAACCTCATACATTTTCAGCAGCACTTGCTCTGCTGTGGACTTCTGCAATCCTACTCGCCAGAAAAGCAGGTTTCCCAGCTCCCCTCTACAGCTGAACCCCAGCTCAGGTCAACATTTAACTTTTTGTTCACCTGAGAACATACTGTAGGAGGACAGCCCCAAGTGCCCTAAGAAACCCAGAGCCGCAACGGGTCTCAGCACCCCACTCCCAGCCCATCTCCAGCAGCCACTGCTCTTTGCAGACCTGCAGTCAGCCCTCGCCCCAGCCCAGACACGCGACAGCTCGATGGGTCTCGGCAGTCAGGACCCTGGGAACTTGCACCCAGGGACCGTCCCGTTCACTAGCACAGTAGTCAAGCACCAGCAGCTGTCTCCTCCGTGGCCGGGTGTCAGTGCTTCGCCTGTGGCAAGGACAACCTCATCAAGCTGGAGGGAGCCCCATGAGCTGAACCCTTTCAGCAGAAACTGCTGCTATCTGGGCCACAGGGCTCACACCAAGGCCTTCCTGTACCTTGATTCTGACACTCAGATGAGCACCACAGTACTGAAGACCAAGCACCCAACCAGCCAAGGGCCACCGGAACTCTCCCCACCCTAGGGACACCCTTAGCCAGTGGTGGCAAACCTGTAGCATATGTGTTATGTTTTTAAGACAAAAATGTTAAAGTATGAGTTGGTTTATGGCTGGGCATGGTGGCACACACCTGTAATCCCAGCACTCAGGAAGCTGAGGCAGGAAGACTGCTGTGAGTTTGAGGTCTGCTTGGGCTGCAAAATGAGTTCAAGATCACCTTGAACTGCATAGTGAAATCCTGTCTCAGACCGAAAAAAAAAATTTTTTCTTTAAAGTTGTTTTTTTCTGAACTAAAACCGAAATAAATAAATAAATAAAATCAGACCTGTTATCTGGGTTGAACTGCAATGTTGGCATTTTGCAATAAATAAGCAGGTTGTGGTTGTGGTGTGGTGCTTGGTCTCTAACAGGTTCACCGTGCTCCTGCCGGTGAGCCCCACCCCTGCATGTGCCCTTGGTGCCCAACGCCAACCAGGTCCAAGTGCCCATTTATGAGGCTGGACCACGAAGAACAGAAAGAGATAAATGACACATTTAAAGACTTAATATATTTATTTATTTATTTATTTATTTATTTTTATTTTGTCTTTTTGAGACCGAGTCTCGCTATACAGTTCAGGCTGGCCTTGAGCTCACTTCATAGCCCAGGCTGGCCTCGAACTTCCAACGATCCTCCTGCCTCAGCCTCCCCAGTGCTGAGATTACAGGGGTGCACCCCCATCAAAGTCGTATTCATTAAACAGCGCTTTCATTCAGGAGATGGCGGAAAGGCTCGGCCAGACACCTTCTTGCAGAAGCAGAGATCACAGGCCTGAGCACTCATACCAGCCAGAACTGCTGCCCTCCTCCCGCACCTGGAGCAAGGGAGTTTCCAGTTCTGGTCCGTCCTGCTCCCTTCTTGCTCAGTGACCGGTCTCTTCAGTACCCACCGCATCACCTGTAAAGGTGAGATTACAAACACCTCGGTGCTGCTATGACAACTGGGGACACACACAGCCAGAGGCTGTCATGAATTCCCACCTGCAGGGACGCCCCATCCCTGACCCATCCCAGGGAGCAGAGGGCTCTGATCATGGCGCTCAGGGAGACCCGCCAATGCCCCCACCTTCTGCCCCAGAGAGGCACACTCACTCTGCACAGCTCCACAAGCATCATCTCAGGTCTCTCCCAGGACCGGAATCCCGGTGCTGCTGCTGCTGGAAACACCAGCAGTGGCCGTCACTGAGCCACGTGCGAGCAGAGACGGAGGCCTTCGATGCCCTTCCTTGTACATAACATGGTTGCCTGCCCATTTCACGGATGGTGGTGGAAAACACAGAACTCCCTGATGAGAAATAAAGCACAGGAGATTCACAGCAAAAGCAGCAGCCAGTCACCAGCACTCACCACCCCCTCTGAAGCCCCAGGGTGACAACAGGGCAGGAGGAGCACAAGTGCAAGCCCAGCGGCCCAAGCAATTTAGTGAAAATAAGTAAAATAATCAAACAAAAGCCGGGCGTGGTGGTGCACGCCTGTAATCCCAGCACTTGGAAGGCCGAGGCAGGAGGATCGTTGCAAGTTCCAGACCAGCCTGGGCTACAAAGTTGAGCTCAAGGTCAGCCCGAACTGCATAGACCCTGTCTCAGAAAAGACAAAAGTAAAATAAAATAAAATAAAAGGATTCAATGGGGCGCGGTACCCTCTACACAGAGTAATGGGGGCAGGGCGGCCAGCGCGCTGCTCACCAGATGAAGAAACGGGAGGCTCGGAGGTGGCTTCCCCAGGGCCAGGCCCAGCGACTGCTCCTGAAGCTGAAGAGACAGAAAGGAAGCTGGAAGCCCCGACCTTCAAGACAGAGGTGACCTCATCCACTGGGACACACGGTCTGTGTGCTCCCCTTCCAAGCCAGCCCACCCCTCACCGCCCCCAGCAGCCCTTGAGCTGGGCAAGAACACAAGGGAGTTTCCTCCCCATTCTAGGTTCTTCCCGCGGCTGGCATCCAGGGAAAGCACAGGCCATGGGCCCGCAGGCCTGGTGTCGAATCTCCACCTGCAGTTCCTGGCCGGGCAGCCCTGGACACACCGTTCCGACCGTGGGCTCATGTGCGTCGGACCCAAAACCGCTTCATGGTGATGCCTCAAACACCTAGCTCCCAG